GTATAATATGCCCTAAGAAAACGGTCCAATACAAAAATAACAAGTATTGAATTCAATGGAATCATAGTGAACTAGGTGGTGGTATCACATTGCGACAAGTCTTCTTATTGTGACCAACAACGTGGCACCGAGAACATTTTTGCCGTTTTGTCCCACGATGCTCACCAATAGATGGTATCCTTGACTTTCTCACACGACCAGCTGGCCTTTTCTCACAAGGGGGGGGGGGGGGGGGGGGGGGGCTTGCAGCGAATGCTCAAAACACTGGAAGGAACCACCCAATATGATGGGTCTATAATTGGATGCATAACATCATTCCAAGTAGAATACTAATAGTGGCGTGTGTAATATGGAGAAATGAAATCATAGCACGACAGGTGAGGTCAAACATCAATAACAACAACAACATGAATGCAAACAAAATGAGACAGTTGAAACTCCCCACATGTACATGCATGCCTTGGCATTGAGATCAACAACAAAAGAACGGGAATGTCTATCAACCACTTCAAATTCCAAATATGAGCACGACTTTACCTAGAATAAGGAAAAAGTGAACAATAATATGTAATTTGACAATGGAAAAGGACAATGCAAAAACGTATAAGAAACTGTATGAAAAATCCGAAGGTGGCAGAATGTACCATACGTTGTAGAAAACTGCCAAATATTAGGCATTAATACATTAATATAAATAGACAGAAATATTGCAGAAGAAAAAACAACTAACCCTGAGTTTCCTAGCTTGACTTTGAAGTGAAACCAGTAGCTTTTCACGTTTTTTTTTTGCCAAAAAAGAGGTTGTCTTCTCAGCCTTTTCCTTTCTCTCAGTGAACCATTGTTGCATTCTTACTCTCAAAAAGTCAATGAGTTTAGCGACAGAATACTCCCTTGCTGAAACATCTACGTTGTTCATTGACTCTGCACAATTTGATGTCATTATATCATACATACGAGGGCCACACATGCACTTTGCCCATTTATGACTGCCAATTTTTTCTAGTCACGGTCGTGTACGGGTATCTTCGGAACCCAACAATGCCATGTACTCTTCATACTCCTTCAAAGTTGAAGCCATATAAGCAACTTTGAACTTCCAACCTAAATCAACCATGGAGCCCTTGAATTTAGAAATCATATTACGATGCAAATGCTCAACACAATATCCATGACCAGCGTGTGGAAAAATCTTTTTAACTACACTAAGCAAGCCCTTATGTCTATCTGATACAATGTACATGTCCTCGCAGAACATCAATGCTTCACGTACTTTAGAAAAAAACCATATCCAAGACTCTTTAGATTCTGAATCACATATGCCAAATGCTAGTGGGAGAATTTGGCCATTTGCATCTTGAGCACAGGCTGTGAGAAGGGTACCCTTGTAGTACGCCTTCAAAAATGACCCATCTGCAATTAGAACTGGTCTGCAATATTTCCACGCCTCCCTCCAAGGTAAGAGGGATATGAAAAAATAACGGAAGGTATCATCTTCTGAAGTTATAAGAGAAATTAGAGAATTGGGATTAGCTTTTTCAATAGCATACGCCAAAGACGGTAGCAATTGGTATGAGTCAGAATCTGTTCCAAACTGTTTTTGCATAGCTATCTTCTGAGCTTTCCATGCTGCGCGTAAGAAATGGAAATACCATGATTCAGGAGCATGTCTTCCCTTATTTCATTTGGCCTATAAGACTTTTTTGACGCATCCAAAAAAATGTCTCCAACAGTGCGGTAGGGTGCTTGGCGATGTTTGCCTTGACGAAAATCAAAAGAGCATGTATGTGATGATGTAAATCTGCAGAAAACAAAGTACTAAAAATGTGAATATGAAAAGAATTTGAAAAATATGCAACATAATGGAATAAAAGACAAAGACAGAATGGTTCACTGAATATATAGTAATGGACTGAGAAATACCTTTGTATCTGAAACATTAGGACACCACGTAGTCTTACAGCCCTCACAACCCATTTACATTTTTTATCCAAGCAGATAACGTGTAAACATTTCTTCTTTGATGTAAGTGTCCTAAATTGGAACACATTATCTATTGCATGCAGCTTCAAATGGTGAAGAAGATCTGCTTTAAATTGCAAATAACATGCAATACAATATGAGTGGGGTGATAGTGAGTGATGACATCGAGATTATGATGAACAGAAAAAGTGTCATTACACATTGAAGAAGGTGATGGAGTAGAGCTAACTTCTGGCCGTAGGACTACAAGAGAGCACATCTGTATTGGTCATATGAGTTTGGGAAGTGTCTGTAACATTGACCTCATTATTAACTTGGACGCAGTGTTCTTCAATACTGTTGAAAGAAGAATGAATATGACCAGAAGATTGATTTAAGAAACATGGAATTTTTGCTAGAACAGTTTGTGCAACAGAATTTGTGGGACAAGATACAACATGTTGTGAAACAGGTTGATCAACCAAGAATTCCACACACAAGGGAGATTTTTGAAAATCAGTTTGAAGAGACTTAAGATAAAGGTAAAAACGAAACGTTTCCTCATCATGGATAGAAACAGGTGGAGGACAACCATCAACAATGTAAGAAAGTTTAAAGTGGTTATGTGATTCTTAAGGAGAAAATATGGAAGATAATTGTTCCATGAAAGATGTGTAGTTAGCAGAGAAAAGAACTTGCATAGCAAAGGTGGATCTGCAATTGAAGTTGTAGTCATTGTCCCAAGTACCATCAACTTTCACCATAATCAAAAGAACGGAACCCATATTGACAACTAAGGAGAAAAAGAATAAGAAACATAATAAAAAATGTCATATAACCTGTAGCAAAATGCCAAGTTTATGGCAATAACAAAGAAACGGAATTAAATAGCAAACCATTCAAACAAAAGTGAAAGCTGAAATACAGTATAATTGCCAAAGTAAAGGCAATGATTTTGATTGTGAACTTGGTCAAAAAAACAGTATAACAAAAAAGTCATATAACCTTATGAAAAACGCCAAGTTTTTAGGAATAACAGAAAAACTGGAAGCCAAAAGTTTAAAAACATCCTTGACAGTGATAAAGCAATGAATGTCACATGAAACAAGACATTAGAATTTGATTAAGAGTAGAAAGGATGATAATGTTAATAAAACGAAGTAAGTAGCAAACGATTCAAACAAAAGTAAAATCTCAATAAACAGTATAATCACCAAATTAAACACAGTGATTGTGATCGCGAACCTGGTCATAGAATAGTACAAACGACAAATTGAATTTCACATACCGGTCAGTATAATCAAAAGTTGAGTTGAAGAGATGATCGAACGGATTGGCGTTGAATTTGTTGAGTTGCAGAACTGATCGCACGGAAGAATAGTCAGTATAATCACCAAGTTGAGTTGAAGAGCTGATAGAACGATTTGGTGTTGAGTTTATTCAGTTGCGGAGCTCGGATCGCAAGAAGGTAAAATATGAAGTTAAACGAAGAAGAAAGGTGGTGGCGCAAGTAACGGATACCTAATGCGATTAATTAAAGAAAATATTATACTGGTCGCACGGAGGAGTTGCAAAGGCTTAAAACATAACAGGAGCAAAAAGTGAAATCTAAAGTAAGCATGTTTCCAAATAGGACTCATATGGTCATATTTTGAAATTTGAATTAAAAACATAAGTAATCTTATTTTAGATTTTTAGGCTAGTTTTAATCCTATTTAGGCTAATTTCTAATATGATAATTTTAAATTTAGAAGTGACACTTTTGATTAATCAACTGCTATCATCATAAAAATTTTTAATTCTCCACTTAATGTGGCAGAACCGAGTTGGAATGACTATTATAAAAGTCAAAGAACCAACAACATGCAATAACAACAATAATTAAGCGTTAGTTCAATTTTTTAGATCAACTAAAATGTCTATTATAAAAGTCAAAAGACCAAATTTGAAAAATTCCAAAGATAGTACTTAAAATATGTCTGACACAATGTTCAAACTAAAACTAAAAGTGAATAAATTCCAAAGTGAATACCAAGTATCTTGAAAAAAAAACTCAATTGATTATATTAAACCAAGAACTCGTATAATACCGAGTAGTAGTCGTATAATACCGAGTAGTAGTTTCCTAAATGAAGTTGTTTCATAAAAATGTGAGAACGGTAACACCCCAACCACGCAGGACCAAGGTAGTTACTCTAGATCTCTAGTACTGTCTTCACAAACCTCTACAAGTTTTTTTCACGCACTTTATCCTCATTCGTGCACGCTCTGAGAAACTTTCTAAGGGGTCACTCATCCCAAACTACTTCCGTTCAAGCACGCTTAATTTGGAGTTCTTAGCTGATGAATTTTCTTAAAAGGAAATGCATCTTGTTGATATGATAGTACTATTAATTCATTTAATTTAAATCTCAAGTATTACGATCACCCCCACTTAGGATCGCAACGGCCTCGTTGCGCCCATAAGCCAATTCAATATCCCAGAATCTTCCCTTTCTAAATGCGCGCCCGATATCCCACGGATCGTCACACTGTGACAGAGTTTCTTTGATACCACTTGTAACACTCCGACCATGCAGGACCCGATGTAGTTACTCTATATCTTTAGTACTGTCCTCACAAACCTCCACAAACCTTTTCCGCGCACTTTGACCTCACTCATGAGCACCTTGAGAAACTTTTCATAATCTCATGGGGTCACTCATCTCAAGACTATTCCCGTGAAAGCACGCTTAACTTTGAGTTCTTAGCTGATGAGCTCTCTTAAAAAGAGATACATATTGTTGGTATGATAGTACTATTAATCCGTTTAATTTAAATCTCAAGTATTTACAAGAACACTCATAAAACAACAAATACTTCTATTTGCTAAAAGAACTAAACAAGAATATCTTCGCCCAAGTATTTGAGTCGCCTTAAATTGTGCAAAGTTTTGTTCTAAACCTTAAAAACATCACATTGTAGAGAAATGGCTGCATCTGAAAGGAGAAAATTATGCACATCATTTCTAGAAGGAACATCACATATGAAAAGAAAATGCAGTCACCGTGAACATCAAGGAAAAACAAACCATCTGCTGTCTATACTGATCATTTAAGACGAAATTAAACATCCTGAACAATTGTTTCACCGTGGCAATAAGGAAACATGACGTACATATTGTGCAAGTAATGATGCCCACAAACGGGAATAAGAATAAGCCAGCACAACTTAACAAGATCCAGCAAACTTCTTCAGATTACAGCTAAAAGAAGAAAAGAATCTAAAGCAGGAAAGAATAATCCCGCCTTTTACTCTTGTGGCGTGACCAGATATGGATGGTATAGTAACTTATGTATCTCCCTCACTATCCAATTTTACATCTCAACCAGCTGAGAAGGGAAAAAGGTAAAAGAAAAGCCTACACCGAAGGGGGATAAATCGAAGTCCAAACCTTGCAGAATCCGACGCACTGTCCGGAGACCTTTCCTATGTATAAAAGGCTCTCAAATCATCTCTAAAGAAAATGAACATCTAGCATCGATTTTGTGAGCGTCATTTTGGTTTGGACTATAAATTCCATCTATAATAAACAGTTGTAATCCACAGTTCCATACAAGTCGTGTCTTCCTAGGCAGCGCCTCCTGTAATATATAACAAGCAGTTAAAGACGACAGTCCCAATATATGAGCAGCAAAACAGTGAGGCATTTACGTAAGATACTACGAGTTATTAGGATGTTTTTACTCGAGTAGTTTTTCGTCCCAAACCAAACTAGACCAGACTTAAACAGACTAGACCAGACTTCGACAATTATAAAATACAGACAAAATTAGAGCAGTTCAGACCAGACCAAACTTAAACGAACCAGACCACATCATGAAATTTCACTTGGGGTGAACAGGAAAAATATAAGTTCAATGACGAAATGTTCATAAATATATAGTGGACGGGTATACTCAGCATAGTTACTTGTGAGCAACTAAACTACTTCATAGGTAGGTGAAGAACCTTTTCTGAAAATACAAGAACTTTTTCAGGGGGAAGACCCCTACAGCCCATGTATGCGTGCACAAACAAAAAACAGGAAAAATATCCGCTTTGTATGCCTTAATAAGGTAAGAAGGAGCTATAAACACAACAATAATGAAAGTAACATTAAGAACAAGTAAATCAATCAACATTGATGCCACCAACCAATGGGCTATTTTTTTTTGTGTGTGTGTATAGAAGATAAGTAACACAATATAATGTGGTGTACGGTTTTAAAATGGAGGCAAGAACACGTGTTGAGGATGCAATATTGTGGTTGTGGTTCGCAGCGCAACCACAACGCACCAGAAATGGGATGTGTTTGGAAATCACCCAAAAATGTTCAAGTTAACCAAATCATGCCGCAACATAACTGCATGAGGCTGAATCACCACTATAGGTCTTTTTTAAATTCATACCATATTGGCCATGTCACACATCATAGCGGCCACAATTATTGCAACCAAGGACCACAACCGTGACTCAACACCAATTTAAAATCATGGGTACAATAATCATTACCCTACATATTCATCGCATGCCATACAATAATAATAAACCATTACCGCAACGTTTAGTATTAATTGAGAAAGTATGGTTATTAAGAAAAAAATGATTGAATATTATCATAAATGTTATTATTCCTTAATATGTTAAAATGATAATTCAATGTCAATTAAATATTAAAAATATATTTTTATTATTATTAGTGGTGGACACTGGTGGTGGTACTAGTAGTCTTATTGATTCCCCAAACTTTTGAAATATTATACTACATAATACTCAAAAGTAGAATGAAGATAACACAAAACTCACCTCTATTGAATCTTTTTTAACACTATAACAAGCCAACATAACCAAGCGAGTTGTTAGGTATAACATCTGAAGCAATACTTCCAAGCCCATAGCGGAAAGACGAAGCATGATCTAGTTCTGGAGAAAGTGAACGCCAAGTTGGCTCCCCATACATTGAGCTTCTTCCAGCCCCGTACAGGTTTCCAGAATCTCCAGTACGAAGATCTTTTCTAGCAGTAGTAAATGATGATGTTGGACCAGGACTGTTGACAATGTTTTGTCCATAACCTCCAGCACTTGCAAAACTGCTGGCACCATTATTGGCCATAGCACCATTCCTTCCTCCTTGACCTGAGATTGGAGAGGAACCCCAAATTGTTCCAAAACCTCCAAGGGAAGCATCCAATGCACTACTATAATGAGTATCCTCATTGTCTAACATTCCCCGACCTGCTGAATTCAGCATAGAACCACTTCCAACTCTCCCTGAAGCATATCCAATTGGACCAATATACCTGTTTGAATTTCCACTATAAAAAGAATTTAAATTGTGTCCAAACCCAGCATTAGAGCTAAAACCCCCACCATAGTTTGAACTCAGTGATGGGTCTAGAGTTGGTCCAATATTATAGCCAGCTGGATTAAGTGATAAATGACCACTACGACCAACAGCAGTTGGACTGAATCTTTCCATTCTTACTCCAGGGCTTCCAAATGAGCTCAGATTGTAACCTTGAGTGTATGCATTCAGAAAATTGCTTACTCTGTTCAAACCATAATTGTATCCACCTAAAGGACTTCTGGCTGGCCCTGGTGATAACTCCTTGGGAACAGCACGCTTAACTTCAACCATTTTTCCATTGAGTTCATGAAATGTTGTTTGTAAAACTTTATCTACAGCCTCCTCGGAGTCATAAGTTATGAATCCAAAACCTCTAGGCCGCTGTGTGTTATGGTCATACATCACCACAACATCAGTTATCGTTCCAAATTGATCAAAGTACTTCTTGAAGTCGCTTTCAGTCACTGAGGATGGCAAACCACCTACAAATATCTTTTTGGTGCGTATGGTGCTTTGTGGAGACTGTATATTTCCATTATTCCGGTTTATGTGCTGATCTTCCCTAGGCACAGCCTTCTTTGCCTCTACCTACTCAAAAAGGAAAATTTTTAAAAACAAATGAGGTCAGTATCACATTAGAAGGATAAAAAGAAGAAGAATATGAATCATATCACTAGCAATTTCCTTGATTTAATATGAGATTAAAAGCTGCAGCTTTAAGTCAATGATGAGGATCACATACAATAATATATACTAGAAGTTCAATATATATACACATATATATACTAGAAGTTAAATATACATTTGAAGTATGGATCATAAGTTGAAAGTAGAAGGCAATACACACTGTAAATAGATATTTTTATCGCACTATATATGCCTTGTTTATAATAAAAAAAAACAAAAAACAGATATCTGGAACAATCACACAGTTTCATATTCCAAAAGAGAGGTTTAACAAAAGTCAATCAATTCCAGACAGCAGGGTAAATCTCTAGATTCCAGTATTGATCTTTAGAGGAAAAGATCTTTAATTTCTAGCTTCTTTGTTGACTAGACATCCATCCCTAAACAGTAAACAGCATAATATATTGATTACACAATCCATATACACATTTGCAGTTACATCTCCTTTATGGTCAAGCACATTTCGTTTTATTGACAATGTTTACGCTATATTAACAACAACATTCAAGCCTTATTCCCGAAAGAGTTTGAGCTCTGGTAACATGAACTGACATATGATGTCCGAGTTAAAACAATACATAGAGAAAGGAGACAAACAATGTAGGATCAATCCTCCACATCACCACATGTATGCTCTCCTTCCACTTCGTCCTCTTTAACATCATACTCACATCTAATCCAAGTAGTATCATATCATTCTTGACAGTGTTAAAACTAAGATGATATAATCATATCTGCACATTGCATGTCAGTTTCCAGATGTTCCTATAGCACTATATGCCTTCTTCAAGTGCATCATTGTTTAGCACTTAAGTCAATGCAAATGTTAAGCATTTATTAATCATGGCGATAGGTTTAATAGTAAAATCACACCACCTTCCACGTGTACAAGGAAATTGCTCTCTGGAGATAAATTGGTAGAAAGTTAGAAACTAGAGCAGGATCATATGCTAGTGGAAGTTTGAATAAGTTACTTACGGTTCTACCATCGATGGTGTGTTTTTCCTTTACAACTCTTTCCGCAACAAAAGGATCAGAAAAAACAACAAAACCAAAACCACGGGCACGCCCTGTGGCCCGATCTTTCATGATAACTGCCTCAACTACTTCACCAAATGTTTGGAAATAAGCTCTGAGACGCTCTTCAGTGGTGTCCCAAGATATGCCACCAACAAACAACTTTCCAGGCTCCATTTCCATCCTGCACAATACAATTCCAATCATCCCATCAGACAGGACACGGTAATATAAATCCTCAACAGATCTAATTCACTCAATCAAAAGCTAAATAACGACTTTCTCACACAAAATTACTCAAACAATAAACAAGTATTGATGGGATCTACCAAGCATAATAGAATTTTAGTGAACCAGCAAGTCCTCAATTCAGAACCAACATTTTGAATAACTACATCAATGATGAACCTATAACCCCCTCAAACAGACTAATCCAGCAGATAATATCCAAATGCAGATTAGCCATCAAGAAGAACTCAATAACAATATAAACTTAGAAAAAGTCGAAATCTGAGAACAGTCAGATAGGAACGCAATCTATGATTATAAAAAAAATCTGATCTTTGAAAGATCCGAAGCTGATCCATCAGCAGCCCAGTATTCCAGAAGAAGCAAGAAAGTCAGAAACTTCAAGAATAAACAGAGATGAATGGATCAGTCTGATAACAAAGTGGTTTTATTTACCAAAAGGTGAAGGCACCAATGACAATAGAAATCAAGATCCAAAGAGAGACATATGTAATGATCAGAGGGCTGTAGAGGCCCTCTCTATAGCTCTATTTTGCTTTTTCTTCAACAATACTCACTTTCACAGACCTGCTCAAGTATATCTGTGTGTGTGTGTATATATATATATATATATATATATATATATATATATATATATATATATATATAATTATTTAGGGAGAGAGACACGGAAAAGATAATAGAGAAGGTAAGAGAAGTAGAAAGTGAGGTGTGTGGGGTGATTTATTTATGAAATTAGTCTGAGAAACTTAAAACCCAAAATGTGGAATCTCCCATGCGGGAGCCCCACATCCGACAGAGCACGTGAGAGGATATAAATCATGGTGACTCAGTCAACATCCGACAGAGCACGTGGGAGGATATAAATCATGGTGACTCAGTTAGCGAAGTGGCAGTAGATTTATATACTCGGTCGCTGTGGGATTCGAAACTTGGTTCTTGATCCAAATTTCCACCACTCAAACAACTGAGCTACCCGTGTGGGTGAGAAACCTAAAAGTCAAGATGATGGAAGGCGGTGATTTGCCATTTTGGATTTTTTTCATGTTTTTCATTCAGTGTTTTATAACACAACCAAGATTTATTTCGGCTTAATTGAAAATAAAGCACTTAAAGCTTCTATTTTTAGAATTAAAGTAGATTCTATATTCGATACAAATATTAAATTTGGGTGGTCCTCAATGCTTAATATATTTTAATTAGTTCATTATAAAATTTAATCTTTTTCTTTTTCAGTCATTTGAATTTCTCAACATCCATTGTAGATTGTTTTTTTTCACTCATTTGAATTTCACATTGTAATATTGTATATCAGTACGTTCATATTTTTATTTATTGGTTATTGTTCACTAAGTTTAAAGTTGTGCTCATTCACTTCGTCTTCTCATGTTTCATCTTTTCACATTTTAATCATTTTAGGTTTAAATTAAATAATGTTCACTTATATATTAGAAATGATCAATTGAAAATAAATTACTTCAATTTTTTTCTTATACAATTAAATAAATTCCTATATTATATACTGATATTTAAACCGTGGTTATCATCGTGGTGATCCTTAGTGTTTAATATTTTAATCCATAAAAATCTCTTTCTTTTTCACTCATTTGAATCTCACAAAGTACACATTGCACATGGATACATCCATATGTTATTTCTCAAGTATTGCTTATTAATTTAAAATCACACTTATTCAGTCTTCTCATTTAAAATCTTTTCATATTCTAATCATTTTATATTTAAACTTTAATTATGTTTAAATAATGTTCATTGATAATAAGTTATAGCTTTTCAATAAAAATGACTATTTAGGTATGTGAATGTACAATTATAATGGCACATCCACATATATATACTACGGGTAGCATATATCATCTATAAATTCTATGATCTCTAGTTGAAATTATTATCCAAATGTTATACTCCGTACTAATTTCTTATAAAATATGACTCTATTATTATAATCTTCACACGCCTATTTTGTTTTTCAAAGTGAAAATTTTATTATCTAAAATAACAAGATTGAATGTCCAATTATATACACATGTTATTTTTTTAAATCCATTATAAATAAATATTATTTTGAGAAAATTGGGTGTATATACACGTTCCAACTATTATTTTTTATAACCATTTATTGTTTTTTTTACTCCAGGGGGTCTGGGAGAGGGACTAGAGTAATCAGGACTGAAACTCACTCTATTGAGTTTTAAACCTTTATGTGCATAACCATTTATGGTATTTAACCGGGATTTTACGCCACTCATAACTAATTATCTATTTTCATATGCATATCAATTATCTTTTCACGAGCAAACTTTGTATAAACAGTGGCTATAACCTAACCTAATTTCTTTGATTATATATCGGTTTCCCCCTATTATTTTCTACCTATTGACAAAACGAATTCTTCTTGCTTTTCAATTAATTTTATCCTTACATCTTGTGGGAATATTTTTTTTTTCAAATCCAATAACTTCATTAATTCACATCATTCTCAAGACATGGGCAATATAATCAGGTGAATTATCAATTCAAAAACCGACAGACCCAGAACAGGTTTCCCTAGCAAGTATATGGGCAGCCTGATTCGCTGAATGGTGCACATATTGTACACTTATATTAGTAAACTCAGCCATCATGTGTCTAATATTTAGAAAAATAATATCATTATAACTAATGACATCCCCTTTGTGAAGCCCCTGCACAATATGTTGAGCGTCTGATTCCACGATGATCCTTTGTCATCCCCGCTCCTTAGCCCATCGAACCGCTTCCTCGATTGTCAGTGCCTCTGTCGTCCCCGCTGAAAGACGTCCTCATCTTCTTATATTCTTACCTGCTAAAAACTGGCCATGGCTATCTCGAGCAACCAGCCCCAATCCTCTCATATCTTCCTCGATTGGTACAGAAGCATCAACATTTATTTTTACTAACCCCGCATGCGGAGCCTGCCACTTACCTCTCTGCTCCTTTTTTGTCCGTTCATGGAGCTTAGATTGTTGCGCCTCCCGCCACCCCTCTAGCATGGCATCGCCACAAGTGATAACACCCTTCCAGTTTGGATTTAATTTCTTCCAAACATGCTCGTTCCGAGCTTTCCACAAACTCCAGGTAGCCATGATAAACTGGTCGAAATCAGCCTTCGAGCCACTTTCTGCCACCCTTCTTGCCCACTCGCCAAAACTAGCAGCTGCTAGTTGAAGAAATTTCCAGCCCCTACTACACCACACTGCTTTAGCCAAAGTGCAATCCCGAAGAATATGTAAAGAACTCTCTTCCTCATGACCACATATTGCACATCACGGCCACACCGGCACTCTCCGTTGTATTAAACGTTGTTTGAACGGTAAACAATCAATGCAAGCTTGCCAAAAGAAGATCTTCACTTTTGGTGGTAACTCTAAATGCCACATTTTCGTCCAACACATCGTCGGGAGAGTGCTGTGTTTTAGTCTCTTGTAGCAACTTCTAACACTATAAATACCTTTGGACTCATCGGCCCAAATCAGCTCATCCTTTTCTTGTCCTTGTCGCAACGGTATGCTTGCAATGAGATCTCTATCATTTTTTGAAATAAATCCCCCAATAGATCAACATCCTACCCGGATCCATCATTAAGCATGAGTGAGCTCACCTTAATATTTTCTAGCTCAGCCACCACATTCCCAGCCGACCGACACCCTGCTGATAATAATGTATTTATTAATATTAATTAGGTTGTCTAATTATAGTAGGAATCTCAATGTATCTTTGACTCTCTTATTATAAATAATACTTCCGGGGCTACCATTAAGGTACGCTTCCTCATAATTCTCACATGGTATCAAAGCCCGAGGATTTTAATTTTTTTTCGGTATTCCGTCCAATCCGTCTTCAGCTTTCCTGCCTCGTCCATGCCTAACCCATTGACATTCGAAAATTGGGTTCCACCAATTTTTACATGGACTCCAACGACAACTGCTATTCCTTCTCTACCACCAGCCGCGTCGTCCATCGCCCCGAACGACCAGATTTCGGTTGCTGCTCAGGCCGTCTATACCGCAGCTTCTGACGGTGTTTTCGCTGGTTCAACACTTCTTGGTTCTCCAGGCCTGTCCATGATTCCGCAAATCAGTCCTATTGGTACGAGAAATCAGGTATTATCCAGCAATTCCTCTTTGGCTGCGCTATCACAATCATTGGGATTTTCTGCCATGAACATCACGAATATAGTTACTACTAAATTAAATGCTGTCGAAGATTATTTACCGTGACGAACACAGTTTGAATCCTTCTTGGTGTCTGATAGTTTACTTGGAATTTTGGATGGCACGATTGAAACCCCTTCTATGCATGTGACGAACATCCAAAATTGCCAAGTTATGAATAATGAATATTGTCATTGACTCAAATTGGATCAAACTGTACGTTCTTGGATTTTTTCTACCCTATCTCGTGATGTTTTGGTAGAAGTTCACACAATTAAACATGCTCCCCGGCGTGAAAAGGATGAGAACTCAAAGTTAAGCGTGCTTGGATGAGAGTAGTCTTGAGATGAGAACCCAAAACATCAACAAAGACAAGAACAACAATTTGGCTCCCCGGCGTTTGCAGCACCTCAGGCCGCTGCTCCACCACCTGCTGCCGCACCCTGTGCAGTCGCTCCCCAACAGCAGTCGCAGTATGCCCAGAGGGGCCGAGGAGGCCATCGTGGATAGAGAGGCCGAGGAGGCCGTGGTCGTGGTGGCCGGCACTACGGCCTGCCTCAGTATGGCGTCGGGCAGTTTGGTGGACCTCCTCCGGGCTATGGTTTTTATCCTCGGGCAGCTTATGGCCAGTATGGCGGGCGGCCATCTGTACCTCAGGGACAGTCAGGTACAGTTGTAGGTAATTCTGTTGCGTCACGATAATATACTAGTTATGCTTTATCTACTTCTATTACTAATCGTGCATCTGCAGGCTCCATCTTTTGAGCATAGGTTTGGTACGGTTCCTCCTCCGGTTGTTTGTCAGATTTGTCACTCGCCAGGTCATTTCGTTGTCACTTGTTCGTCCCGATTCGTTCAAGCCTCTAATCCTGCACTTGTTGTGTCTACTGGTGAATCCACATCTGTTGTCTGGTTTCCTGACTCCGGTGCATCTGCTCATATGACGCCTCATGAAGGTATTTTGTCTCATAAATCCTCTTCTTCCGAATCACTTTCTATCACAGTTGCTAATGGGTCTAATTTACCGGTTGCTACTGTTGGTAATGTGTCATTATCCACCTTATATAGGCCTCTCCATTTAAAATCTGTTTATTATGTTCCTCAAATTAAATATAACCTACTTTCCATTCAAAAATTATGTGCCGACAATAACTGTGTTGTGATTTTTGATAAAAAGTCTATTTTTGTTAAGGACATTCACACGGGGAAGGTTCTTCTTCAGGGTTCCAGTGATGATGGAGTTTATCCCATTACCTTTTCTCAGCCATTAGCCCTTAGCTCTCACGTGGCACCTGGTCCTGTCTGGTATTGTCGTTTGGGACATTGTGGAAGTCGAGTATTAGACAGGCTCAAGAAAACTGGTTCTATTTTAAGCACATCTACTTTCT